GCAGTCTCAAAGCACTTTCCAAGCAATCAGGTCACTCTAGAAGCACGCTTTTCAAGATATACTGAAATGCCTTGGAGCCTTGTTATAGCTTCTCGAAACTGGATGATGGTCAATGGACGAGCTGATCAAATCTACATTTTCAGACTTCCAGATGCCCAAGGGCCCCCCGCAGGAGTCGAACCGAACCGAAGACCTCCTGGGTGCAAAGCCCTATTCTTTTCCACCTGCCTATCAGAGACTCCCGCAGCTGTGTAGAATGCAAATCCATTTGAACTGAAGGCAGGTGCTGAGAACCGCTTTTCTTCGGATTTCCCCAGTCTGCTGTTCGCTGTCGTTTGACAGCTCAGTGGTCCTTGAAAATCTGGTACAAGCCTTAAAGGCCATGGTGACATGGATTTCAGACCGGATGAAGCTGCTTTCCAACAACTTCCTCAGAAGCTTTGCTTGCAAAGGGTTTGGCATGTCATTAGCACATCAAGAATGCGTTTGGGGACCTGGAAACCATNNAAGAGCCATATCTTAAGTAAATGTTGAAGCTCAGTCGTTGCTTGTGTCCAATTGGATATGCTCAGAGCATCTTTCAGCATGTTTAAAACAAATCACAGGAAATGCTCATCACATTCGGACAAGCAGACAAGCACGACATGACACGCAGTTTTTGGGGTGCTGAAAGTGAGTCTTACCGGGGGCAAAGGTGAAGGTCTTCTTAACAAGGTTTTAATACGGCGAAAATGGGTTTCATGGCCTATTTTAGGGTTGCAAAGAATCGNNCTGGAAATCTAGACTTGAGGAAATGATGAACAGTTCGACAGGCATTTTCATCATTTGATGCCCGCCTGATGCCGCTGACGCCACCATGAGCATACAAACCAAGCGTGCAGTATTTATCACGCGCCAGGTCCTACTGCTCGAACTCTCGCCCCTTGTGCTTCCTACGAAAAGGATCCTGAGGGACATGAGCAGCAGCATCATCTCAGTTGCAGTCGAACAGAAAATCTTTTCAGGGCTCGCCGCAGATATGTCAGCTACTGGAGCTGGAGCTAGAGCTGCTGCTGCTGCTGCTGCTGGACCCGCTTCTCAAGGCCTCTTCTTTGCGCCGCTTCTTTGCCGCAGCCTTGTCCAAAGACTGTGCCTTTGCTGAACATCATTCCAGAAAGCTACGGCGAGGATTTCGCATCTCCTGTGTCACGAAGTCAAACTGCTCGGCATGACGTCGCGCCAAGGGGTTGGCCTCACCGGCCTGTGGCCCTGGCTGCTCCCAGACACAAGGCTGATCATAGTACGCTCGCCGCCATGGAATGATTGCTTCCTTTATCTCCTCAAGCACGTCCCACTCCAGCAAGTCTCCATCACCAACCATATCAGAGAAGTGCTTGTTGCGAATGCTCACTCCGAGTCTGTTATGCGGTGAGAGCTTGCCAGTCAGACTGTATGTCCGCGACATTTTGAAATTTCCTGACCGAAAATAAATTCTCTTGGAAGGCCTTTTTGGCCCCGGCTCGAAATGCAGCACGGCAATTCTGGCACCACGGGGATCTTCAGCCATCATCATTGCAGCCCCCTCTGAGAAGCATTCTTTCAAATCTGAGATGCCATGGATATTCCTGGTCTGCGTATACGTAGAGACCCACTGGTTGCACCACCGGAAGCAGCGGTCGACCCCGCTCTTCCCATGCTGCTCTCCAAGCCAGCACACTTCCACGCTTACCCCCAGCACCTTCGGAAGGACGACGCAATAATGATCAACGTTCTCCTTCGATCTAAAATGCGGGCCGCAGTCAGCGGCGCAGATGATATGTTCCACTTTGTCCCAATCTACATCATCTCGGCGCCGTAGCTCCCCGATCAAGGTGTTCAGAAGCATGGTGGCAGCCTGAGCGTCGTGGTAAAGAATTTCGCTCGCCACCACAAAGAAGCATTCTGTCTGGCCCTGACCGCTCCTGCCAGAGGCTATACACATTGCGAGATTGATCTTCAAGGGTTTCAAATATGACAACGGGACTCCGGAATGGGCTTCTGGGCACGATTTTCCTCAAAACATGATATTGTCCTTCCTGTAGACTGGTAGCATAAGTTTCAACAGTTCGAAACCCTGGGAAGATTTGCTCATTTTGAGTATTTGGTATTGTGCTCAGAGGACCTGAAGCTGATTATCGATATTTGAGCTACTGAATTGTTGTTTCAAGATGCTAAAATTGCTTGTGGAACCCCCAATAATAAGCGTGATAACGAGACTCGGGATTGGGCTTCATGCTGTCCTCCCTGTAAATTGGCGGCTATGGAGGTCTCCAAAACAAGTTTCGATAGTTCGAAATCCTTTGACGACTTGCTCATTTTGAATAGTTGGTACTGCGCTGAGAGGACCTGAAGCTGATTATCTATATCTGAGCTACTGCATTGTTGATTCAATATGCTAAAATTGTTTGTGGAATCCCCAATAACAAGCGTTTGGGCGACCTGACAAATATTGACCAGACTTTGTTGCTCAGGCCAGCGTCCCGGCGTTGGAGACCTTTTCTCGAATACTGAAATCCGGGCAGGCGCACCCGTACAAAAACGTACTGATTTCTCGACATGGCACTTAGCTGGGGCTAGTGTATGCGCGGCGAAGCATATTAAGGAAAGCTTGTTGGCCGCGTGCCATTCTGCAGCAGACTCCGAAGGCCCCACAGGGTTCCGAACATTTGCTTTAAAGTCGGTTTGTATGAGGCATGCAGACCCAGGAAGACCGCCGCTTCGCAGTCCATCCAAGTAGTTGGATTGTCGTCGCGCGGACACTTGATGCCATTCGTAAGCTTCCAACAACTCGCCATGCGGGCGAAGGTGGTGCACAGCTGCTGCTTCAGCAGAATGGAGGTCTAGCCGTGCTCGTATGAACAGCGCCTGTCGGGCGGCATCTGCTCCTGCAATATGATTCCTCTGATTCCCAAAATCTGTAGCGTCTCTTATCGGTAAGCCGCCTAATAGGTCCCAGAAATAAACCTGATCTTAACACAGCGCCAGTCGACAGACAGAAGACCCAAGATAGGGTCTTCTACTAGGATATCCTTCTTGCCGCTGCTCTTTGGGGCCACCAGTATGAGAAGATTAGCGTCATCCTCATCCTGGCATGGCTGCCGCTGTACCTTGGCACGCTACGCAAGCAAATAGACAAGATGCGGGATCTGCAGGCAGATCGGGCAAAATCTCCTGCAAAGCAAATTGCTGAGCTTTGCCCAATGATCGAAGCGATCTGCCGCACGCAGATATCCACCCACCTGGATGGCAACCAGAACCTAATTTTTTTTCTATCCGGATGGGTTTCAGCTCCCTGTGGCCAAATGAAATCTTGCTCGTAAATGATTGAAATCTCTGCTTCAGAAATCTTGGCGATATCTGCCTGCCGGGAAATGTCGTACTTGGACTTGCTAATACTCTGCAACCACCCCTTCCAGCCCC